CAACGAACCTGGCATCATGCCTACTCATAGAAAAATAGGAAAGCCACCTAATTCAAATTATCTTAAAAGAAAATCGTAAAAAACATATCATCATAACAACTGTCTATCAATGTTATAAAACTGTTAAGTCAAGCATCTATCAATGTTATTATTCATCAACCATCTAGCCACGGGCCCAGGTCTTTCCAGTAGTGTGGCTGAGACGGCTGATCCCGGGGGTTTGTTACCACTAATTAGTTGTGCCATGGAGCTCGGTCATTTTGGAAAACCGCCTTGCGTTTCCAACACTTTGAAGTTCAAGACATTGTGGAGCACACCGTGCTGGGGCTTCTTACTTCATCACTGCGCAGAGGTTGCGAGTCACATGTTTGAGCTGGCAGTGCTTGCGCACACATCATTCATACGCACAAAGATGGTAATTCACCCAATTCACCGGTTGTGAGTTGGAGATGCTTGCGGACTCTACTTCTACTCTGGGCCGACATGGTGATTCCCATGTTTGTCAGCAGATGCGACGGATGCTTGGCTGTGATACGTTTGCAACCTGCCATGCGCAAACAGAGGGAACTGGCATAGGCTCCTCATGTGTTGTGGCCCCCATGTGTTAGAAGCAGATTATCTTGTGATATGCTTGGGGCATCTTGGGGCAGCATTTGGTCCCACATACATGGTGGCATGAGTCTGGCATGGAACGAACACACGGGCAGTGTCATTGGGGCGGCCAACAACGAGGCCCGGTGGCTCACACCACGTGGCCCCACAGAACTGCACAATTGCGTTTTGATCGCATGGGTCGCGCACGCGTTGTCTTTGCCCCACTTGAGAGAGATTTTTGTACAGCATTAACTTTCTCCTTTTTTCGATTCTTACAACTTACAACCGAATCTTTAAAAAAAAATTGTTTGCATGAGCCGCAGGTGGCCTGCTGGATAAGTGTAGTGTTACCTGCTGGTAGGTAAATGTGTTGGTAGGCTTGTCTGACACAAACTGTGCCTGGTGATGCCCCGGGTTCAAGCCTGTGGACTACTGTGGAAGGCGGGCGCGTGCAAACTCATGCATTGAGTCTGTACAGAGCAGTTGGTTGGACCCGAACCTGTGCTGCGCCGCACTGCTCACGCTGTGCGCGCACCACCCAGAAGCTGTCCGAGATATTCATCAACCATCTATTCATCACCCGTCTATCAACTTTCTATTTTGGTCATTAACATCTATGAATTATTTTGCATCTATCAACTATGTATCAACCCTTTTATTAATTATGTATCAACCATCAAATCTAATGAACATCTATCAACTTTCTATTTCGGTCAGTATTAATTATGTAAGCCCAATGTCCGGCTGGCAGAGCTGAACCAGGTTCATTAAATAGATGGTTGATACTGTATCAACCATCTATTTAATGAATCTGCTTTGTGTGTGGAACTCTTGACTGCAGTACTACCGCCCGCCATACCGCCGCGAGCGAAAGGCCAAGCTTCGGAACGCGGAACAGCGGGCGGCGCAGGTGCCACTGCTTCTGGTGGTGGGATATGAAAATGGGGGGATTTTAACCATCAACAAATGTGGATTTAATGGACTTTAATGATGATTTAATGGTGATTTAATCGTGATTTATTAGACTTTAATGGGATATATATAGCTGATCAGCCATATGAGAGTAAACTTTCTTTACGGATGGGATCAACAAATACGGAATTTAACCATCAACAACTGAGCAGCTGCTAAACACTTGCGAGTTGATGATTACATTTATGGCGTTAGACTATCCAATATATTCGGGACTATCACAGTACATGACCTGGGAAATCTGTTCTTGTATACAGGGACGACAGAGGGTTTTGAAAACTGCCCAATGGGTGTTCATTGGATATAACCAACTAACAACATGACATGAAACTTTGGATGGGATATTAGTGGACTGGGATGGGATCTTCGTTTAATGGGATTAATCGTAATTAACGTGATATCTAACCAACAGAATCGTATTTAGATAATTCAGTCACGTCCCTTTGCGGAAATCATGCAATGCTTCATCGTAGATTTGCGGCGTTTAATTTTGCAAAACGTTTTTGTAAATGTTTTTTCTATGGAGGGGGACTTTATAGGGACACTCCTAGAACATTCCTTTTCATTCATTTTACTGCTTGGTGGTTTCAAACATTTTTTTATTTTCCACAATATATGGGATAATCCTTCCCATTGACTGATATTTTTCAGAGGGGATGAAACCACCAACCAGTTTTAATTCCTAGGGTTCTTCAATGAAACGGGGATGGGCCAGTACCTGCGGGACCATTCTTTGACGGTGTGAAAACCAGATGTTAAAACCCGGCGGTTTTGCCCCACAACAAAAATTATTCGTTACATTATGTAAATATTGTAAATGTATGAGTATAAGTATATTATATGTATTAATACATACATATATATATATATATTTATATTTATTTATATATATATATGTATTTATTGATATGCCAATAAGATCCCCAATGAAAATCCTATAGGTCCTGCCCTATATATCCCAATATATTCAACAAAAACAAACCGTGCCAGGTCAACGAGGCTCAGAATGACACTGCTTTGCGCCTTGGACCGGGCAGATTTCAGAACGGGAAAATTCCGGAGGATTTTTCCATGGGGGCAATAACATGATAAAAACCACCAACTAAGGGGTTTGGTGGTGATATGTGGTTATATATGGTTATATATGGTTATAAATGGTTATATATGGTTATATATGGTTATATATGGTTATATATGGTTATATATGGTTATATCTGGTTATATCTGGTTATATCTGGTTATATCTGGTTATATCTGGTTATATCTGGTTATATATGGTTATATCTGGTTATATCTGGTTATATCTGGAGATATATGGTTATATCTGGTTATATCTGGTGATATATGGTTATATCTGGTTATATCTGGTTATATCTGGTTATATCTGGTTATCCGACAATATGGAGAGATGAAAAGCAGAGCAGGGAAGAGGCAGAGAGAAGAGAAAGATCAGAAGAAAGAAGAGTAGAAGAGAAAGAGTAAGAAGACAGAAGATGCAGATGCGCGAAAAGGTAGGAAAGTCGCGAAACACTGTGTTTTTCCAATGATTTGTGGCTCCGGAGGGTCCAAAAGTAGGCTCGCTAAAGCGGCGGGTGCGGAGCCAGCTGGCCAGAGGAGAGATGAAAAATTGCACGCCGTTGTGGCGCGAAGCACATTTCGAAGTCAAAATGTACAAAACACACCAGGTCCGGACCACTTTTGGAAGTTGCGATGTCGAAAAAGTGCACGCCGTTGTGGCGCGAACCACATTTCGAAGTCAAAATGTACAAAACACACCAGGTCCGGACCACTTTTGGAAGTTGAGATGTCGAAAAAGTGCACGCCGTTGTGGCGCGAACCACATTTCGAAGTCAAAATATACAAAACACACCAGCGTCGGACCACTTTTGGAAGTTGAGATGTCGAAAAAGTGCACGCCGTTGTGGCGCGAAGCACATTTCGAAGTGTAAATGTACAAAACATTGCATGTTCGTGCCACTTTTGGAGGTTCAGATGTCGAAAAAGTGCACGCCGTTGTGGCGCGAAGCACATGTCGAAGTGAAAATGTACAAAACACTAGGGGTTCGGACCACTTTTGGAGGTTCAGATGTCGCTTCGCCGCTTCGCCTCACTACACTACACTACGCTACATTACACCACACTCCACTATACTACACTATATTACACTACACTACACTCCACAACACTACAACTACAACTAATTACACAACTAGACTACACTCCACTACACTCCACTACATTAAATTTCACTACACTACATTACACTACACTACACTACGCTCCACTACACTACACTACATTAAATTACACTACACTCCACTACGCTACATTACACTACACTACGCTCCACAACATTACAGCTACAACTACACAACTACACTCCACTACACTCCACTGCACTAAATTACACTACGCTACACTACACTACATTACACTACACTACACTACATTCCACTACACTCCACTACACTACACTACATTACACTACACTACAATACACTGAATGACACTGCACCACAGGTAGACAGGTAGACAGGTAGACAGATAGACAGATAGACAGATAGACAGATAGACAGATAGACAGATAGACAGATAGACAGATAGACAGATAGACAGATAGACAGATAGCCAGATAGACAGATAGACAGATAGACAGATAGACAGATAGACAGATAGACAGATAGACAGATAGACAGATAGACAGATAGACAGATAGATAGATAGATAGATAGATAGATCGACAGGTAGACAGCTAGACAGCTAGACAGATAGACGGATGAAAGAGAGATAGATAGATAGATAGATAGATAGATAGATAGATAGGTAGATAGATAGATAGATAGATAGATTGGGTAATTAGATGAAAGAGAGAGAGAGAGATAGATAGATAGATCGGTAGATAGATAGATACATAGAAAATAGATAGGTAGGTAGGTAGATAGTCAGAGAAAGAGATAGAAAGAGTGAGAGAGATCAAGCACCTTTCAGTCCATCAGTGGCTTCGCTCTGCCATCCCTGATTCACAACAACCAACCTCTCCTATAGGTTTCCTATTTTTGAAACTTCCGCCACCGCCTTGTGCGGTACTACTGGTATATGGTTATATATGGTTATATCATGAGTGAATTGATGGGTGGTTTCATGTGTTATGTTCCAGCCTATTTGATGGGTCGAGGCCGCCAATCAGTTTGGTTTCATATCCAGGCGGCTGTGGCTGCTCCAGGTCCACAAGTATTCCCATGGCCACCAAACGATACCTTAGCAAGATACTTTGACAACACAAATCAGGATTTCTCCGAAACCAACGAATATCAGTCAACAAAGGTCAGCATAGTGAACTGGTTGGTGGTTTGGAACAAGCCGCGGGCTCAACACCTTCCAGCTGGTGCGGCCGTCCCAGCTGAGCGTTGATGGTTACGTTCCTCGCTTTCGCCATGGCACTGACCCTGGAGATCTGTCTGGTCTTGGAAGTTGTGGTCTTTGTTTCCTTCCTTGAAAGTCACTTGCTTCGGACTAGAGCAACTGGCAACCTGGTCAAGTACAGTGGACTTTTGGAAGGGGGTCATGACTCAGTTACACTGATTGATGCGGTGGTGGGGCGACAGTTCCTGGTTCCTGCCACTGCCTGTGGAGCCAGCACCATGGTGCTCCATCCTGCTGTGCCATCGTGGGCGAACTTGTTCAAACAGATTGATGCTTGTAGTGGTTTGTCTCAGATGGATGGCCAATTGGTGGAAGCTTCTGACCATCAGACCCAGCGTGTGAACTACCTCCGAGCCCAGATGCCATCTCAGGATCAGCAGTTGTATGGGCAGATTGAAACGCAGACTCGTATTCAAGCTATGTTGGAGACCCAGCTCTCTCACATTTGGGGTGTGGTGTCAATGCTCCTGGTGCTCCATCCTGCGGTGCCATCGTGGGCGAACTTGTTCAAACAGATTGATGCTTGCAGTGGTTTGTCTCAGATGGATGGCCAATCGGTGGAAGTTTCTGACCATCAGACCCAGCGTGTGAACTACCTCCAAACCCAGCTGCCATCTCAGGATCAGCAGTTGTATGGGCAGATTGAAACGCAGACTCGTATTCAAGCTATGTTGGAGACCCAGCTCTCTCACATTTGGGGTGTGGTGTCAATGCTCCTGGTGCTCCATCCTGCTGCGCCATCGTGGGCGAACTTGTTCAAACAGATTCATGCTTGCAGTGGTTTGTCTCAGATGGATGGCCAATCGGTGGAAGTTTCTGACCATCAGACCCAGGGTGTGAACTACCTCCAAACCCAGCTGCCATCTCAGGATCAGCAGTTGTATGGGCAGATTGAAACGCAGACTCGTATTCAAGCTATGTTGGAGACCCAGCTCTCTCACATTTGGGGTGTGGTGTCAATGCGTCTGAGAGAGGGAGGTGAATGATGGGGAGGGCGCGAGCCATCTGGTTGGTGCAGTGTCAGGACTGCTACTTTGTCAGTTTACTGGCCTATGGTGGCTCTGGTGCCCGACTTTGTTTTCCTGATTATGGGGTTAGCATCTGCACTGTCTTATGAGAGAGTATGGCCGTCTGCCAAAACGAAGATGGTTGTGCTTCTTGAGTCTTTCAGTGTTGTCAGGGTCGGGGAAGCCTTGTCCCCGGGTCCTGTGGATGCCTTTTGTGATACCAATTTTGTTTTGGAAACTGCCAACCCTTCGGGTCTCCAAAGCGATGCTGGTTGTGTTGTTGCGAACATGTCCCGTGGGGATGTTTGGGCCATGAGTGAGACACAACTTGGTTCCCGGAAGTTGCAGTCGTTCCACTCCAGTCTCCGTTTTGTACAGTCGCCGTTCTGTGAAATTTGCCGCCATGCCAAATTCGACGTGATGTCTCAGTACTGTAGGCCACAGAGCCACATGATATGTATGCATGCCAGCTGTATGGCGAACCCATTTTCGAATGAACGGTTGGAGAACGCTGACTGGTGGCTTCTCAAATTAGGTGCTGTTCCCGTTAGACGGTCAACTAGGGTTTTGGATCACCTGCTTGTTCCGGTGTGACACTGTCCCGTATCAGCCACAGTCAATGCACTGCTTTCGAGACTAAGGCAGTGCGCAAGTCAAAGTGGACAAAGTGGTGGTTTGGAACATGAATTTTATGACTTTCCATATATTGGGAATTTCATCATCCCAACTGACGAACTAATTTTTAAGAGGGGTAGGGCTCAACCACCAACCAGTGAATATCGTGCATATCCTGAAGTTTCGAGTTTCCCAAGGATTTTCATGGCCCATCTACGATAACATCCATTGAAATCACCGCCTTCTCCAGCGGTACCCAAAACGGTACCGCTGGGATCTCCGTCCACTACCCATCTGTATCTTCCCATTTTGGTTTGAATCTTCTTCTGGTTCATACAACACCATACAACAATGGGATAGTGGCTCTAATTCCAGCTTCTGGGGGTTCAAACACACATTTTGAACCACGAATTCTGGTGATAAACCCAAGTGTTGGCTGTTTCAACATGGTTTAACATGGCTTAACATGGTTTAACCAGCATTTTTGCTGATTCAAATATCAGTTTACATGATTTTGCTACCTCCAGGGCCTGCTGCCATGAAACCGAGGCGCTCGCGCGTTCGAGACCTTGAGCATCAACTGAGTCGTGCCGAGGCGCGGAACTGGCGGATGTGGACGTTGACGTTTTGAGAGGCGGAAACGTTTTGAGGATCATCTTGGATGGGTAATGATGGGTATACTGTGTTACCATCTGGTAATTTAACATACCCATTTATAGTGGATTTATAGTGGATTTAGCCATTGAAAATGATGATTTAATGGGATTTTACTGGGTTACCCTCTGGTAATTTAACATTTTGCCATGGTTTTTCGATGGCCCATAGAAATAGATGGTTTACCGAACTTAAAAATGGGTGGATTTTC